GTGTTAGAAGCAGGAAAAATGGTTGTGATAGCTAGACGACAGAGCATCTCCAAAACTGCAGCTGTTGTGGGGTGTTCCCGGTTTGCAGTGGTCAGTACCTATCAAAAGTGGTCCAAGGAAGAAAAAGTGGTGAACCGGAGACAGGGTCATGGGTGGTCAAGGCTCATTGATGCATGTGGGGAGCGAAGGCTTGCCCGTGTGGTCCGATCCAACAGACAAGCTACTGTAGCTCAAACTGCTGTAAAAGTTAATGCTGGTTCTGATAGAAAGGTGTCAGAACACACAGAGCATCACAGTTTGTTGATATGAGGCTGCATAACATTATGACCACCAGGGTGCCCAGCTGGTTATAATGTTATGGCTGATCAGTGTATATCGTTATTGCTAATGTGGGTTGTTCAGGGAAAGACAGTTCTAAAGAAAGGACAATACTATTCATGTTATGTGTTTAGTAATATTGTTCAAAGCAATTATAAATGACTTGGCTGTCTTGTACAGGTCTGGTGGTAGAGCAGTCAAACCTCTGGACTGAGGACACAATGTTCTCACCAATAATTAAAAAATGGTTGTCCACATTCGATAGAGCTGAAAAATGAATGAAATAATAAAAGCATCATCACAGTAAGCTGTATATATTTATTTAAATCACAGGTTTACTTCCAACATTTTGACAATGTATTTTAAGCCGGTGTCTCGAAGCTGTTCCTTCATTAGGTTAAAAGCAGCTTTTGCACTAGGTCCATGCTGATGTCTCGGTAAAAGCATACAATCATGGCTTGTGGGAGCCCGTTTGGCAGGGGAGGTCTGAGAGTACAATGAGCATGGTCAACTTCAGGTTTGGAAGGGAAGCTATCCTTCCTGAAGACCTCGACTGGGAAGATTCCATGAAACAGGTAGGGAGACTTAGGCTCTTGATCTTTGCACTTGGCTGCCAAGCTGCTCCAAGACTCTAGACCCTAGAGCTGAATGGAATACCGACACTTGACCGAGCACATCACAGTCTACAGTCAGAACTGTGTCCTCGATCCAAATTAGGACAGACTGAGGACTAGACAAAATAGTTATCTTTCTAAATCTACAGTTCTTAATACATGTCAGATCCATTACGTATAATTGACCCTTTCTCCAAACACTAGGCTACTCTTTCTTCTCACCAGTACACCATTCATACTCCAGGACTGACTACTCACTTAATTAGTATCTTTATGTAAATATTCTGCTCTGATTCTTATATCAGATCACTCTCCTGTGCAAATGGATATCTCCCTCCCAGATTGTCATGTACCTCAGCAAGTGTGGAGATTCGACCCCTCCATGCTGTCAGACAAAGACTTATCTTTTAGCACAGATTTATCTCTTTCTAGAAGTTAATGATACCCCAGATATGTCCACAATCCCGGACAAAGGCATTCTTACGAGGTCAAATCATTTCATATACGGCATATAAAAACAAAAAGCACTTTGAAAGACTTTGAGAACTGACCAGGCTTATTTCCAACATTGACTCTCAATACGCAGACAGACCTTTTACAGACTTGTTCAAACAAAAACTTCAGTCAAAATTTTAAACTCTCTCTATCAGTAAACTGAGAAACTTATGTTGCGGACAATAAAGCATACTTATTTAAAATGTTCTCGACCGCTGACTCTAGCTGTCCTAGATATCATCAGTCACAAGCAACAATGAAAGGCTACCAGTCCCCCACCAACCTTTATATTATGGATGAGGGAATTCATGATGTGCCTCCAAATGGAGAAGTTGAGATACACATAGAATGGATCACTTAAAAAATATAATAGAACCTGGCTTCCCTTTATTGAGTATGTAGAAAACCTCTCTTTCCCAGCAGTCTGACACTGAACCACATATAGGAGGTGATACTCTGATCTGACTCAAATTTTTTAACTTTTATTTTCTTGTAAATAATCTACATGTAACCTTTGTACCATACAGCTGTTTTTTTCTGTTATTTGTTATTGTTGTGGTTATTGTTCCCCAATATTACATATTCACGTATCCTACATTGCTCTCATATTTTAGAGGTTTTAGTTTTGTTTGTTTTCTGTTTAGTTTTTTTTGTTCTGTCTTTTAAAAAAAAGTAAATTTCTTTTTTTTCTTTCAACTTTGTTCTTTCATATTTCTCTTTACTGTTTGTGGCCAATGCTGTTCTTTAAATGTTATACGAAATGATAAATAAAGTCTTAAAAAAACAAACCGTTCCATTTTTTTGATTTACATTACCTGCTAGGAAACTGTGAACTACAGTGTGGAGATTGTGCTCTAGAAATGATTTCATCTCTAATAGCATCGAACATCCCCTTAAAATCATCACAGGTAAGTTGCAAGCTAAGGCTAGCATTAGCCTCTGTAGCTTTGCCAGTGTCTAGCGGTGGGGTATTACCATTGCTAACAGTCTGCTCTGGTTCTCTGTTCTTGTGCTGGGTTTTCTGCTCATCATATGGTCCTGGTATTGAGTTTAAGTTTCACAACAAACTCTTATACACAAGAAGTGTGTGTTTCAGTTCATGTCTCTGCTCTGCCATGAAAACTGAACTCTGAGTGCTAATGTTTTAATTGTAATATTTCTATCTTTTATTTGGTTGTGTATTTATTTTATTGTATGAAGGTTGTTTTAGTTTTATTACGCCCAAGAAATAAGTTGGATCTGATGAATATTTTCTTTTACAGAAAAACCACTGCCCTGATTTTCATGAAACTTGGTGGAAGGATGTATCATGGGCCAAGGAAGAACCCATTCATTTTTGAGTGCGTCTGAATCACGTGGCGGATACACTAATTATTTTTTTAATAACAATTTTTTTTTTTTAACATTGCAATATA